GTTGTAAACTAGGAATAAATTAGATTTAAGGTGTTAGTTTTTAAATAGCGATAAGTATATTAAGTAGGAATAAGGATTTGTAACCCTAAGGGGACCGAAGTAAATATTTATCTATCTATTAATTAATCTTAGCGATCACTATATAAAACCTTAAAATTTTATATTTAAGAAAAGATCTTGTTTCTAAATTTTAATTAGATTTAGCTTCGTGTTTTGATTCAGTTTCTCAAATTATTTTCTTAAATAATGGTTATGAATAAAAATTTATCTCTAACGCGAAATTACAAATTGTCTAAAATGCGCTTTATAAAAGAAGAAGAGAATTGAATTATATGTATTATGATTTATTGATCACAATACGAGCACCACATTACAATTTGACGCGCGTCTATTTATTCATCATATACATTATCAAAATTACAAATAGATACTTATATAGATTTACGCTAGCGTTATTCATCATTATTATTAGTTTATTATTTACATTCTTCTATTAATTACTATCGCAATTCTTTTATTGCACGTCTAATTGCATCAATAACATACATTTTCTTTCCGCTAAAAGACCTCTCGCATTCCTTTCTAAAATTATTCAAGATTAATTTGAACACGCCCTACATTTTTGTTTGCTAGTTTATAAATTTCGTACTAAAAATATTCCAACTTTTAAATTATGAAGATTATTCTTCTTAAGCCTTAATCAAAGAATTGATTTTAAAAATCAATTATTTTGCCATTTCATATATTTTCTTTACAATTGAAATTTGGCATTTTAATAATAATTACATTTAAGTAATTAAATTTCATTTAACCATGAAATTAATTTACCATTCAATTTCTTTTTAATTTAACATTGTATTTTGTAAACTTGCTTGCATGTATTAAATATATTGATTACATATAAAACGCTAATGTACCTTAAATATAATATATATAATAAAAGTTAATACTTTGAACAATTAAATAATTTACATACACACACACACAAAGATTCGAAATACGTGACTGCACCTCTATAAATAATTCCTTCTCATAATTAATTAATTTCTTATTGTAAGAGTTTATATATCACGTAATTATAATTCATTAAATTTTATTTGAACATGTTTCATGAAATACGACCGTTAATTTAATAATATTGGAAATGACTGATTTTAATTAAATCTGTAATAATTTTAACACATTTCAAAACAGATAGAAAAATTTATGAATCTCTTACATTGATATTTAATTGCTATTTAAACTTAAGTTTATAAAAGTGTTAAGATCAGAATTTTCGAATATTTGTACATAATAAAATTTACATGGGAATTATGTAATCGCAGAAATGTTAATCTTAGAAACCGAAAAATTTATGAATTTCTTACATTGATATTTGGTTGCTATTTTAACTTAAATTTATAAAAATTTTTAGATTAGAATTTTCGAATATTTGTAATTAATCAAATCTACATGGGAATTATGTAATCGCAGAAATGTTAATCTTGAACACGTGGCAAGGAACGCGATTAAAGTTCGCTCGTATTCCGTTTATGACGAAAAATTAAGAAAAGTATGTGTGTCATTTTTAAATTACCCGCATTTAATTATAAAAATGCACTATACTTTTGTAATATTTAAACACGAGCTTATGATTGAAGTGTCGTTTAATCATTTGCTGTTCGTTACCGTGAAGCGGATAAAGTTTAAGTCACAAATAGAAGATCTTAATATTTAATGTGATCAGACGTCCCGCTTTCGAGATAATTTTTTTCGCTGTCCCTCGCCAAACATGTCAAAATTTTCAATAATTGTATTATTATTTAAAAATAAATTACTATTATTGCATTTATCTTTATATCTTCATACATTCTCCCCTTTTACTCTGATGTTAAGTTACTCCGCTTCGAATTCGAAAATATCTGATATTATTAATTTACTTCGTAAAAGTCTGCGTTAACGGCCATTTCCTTGAGACACAAACAAACAAAATTAAATTCGACGATTGGCTAGTCGATTTGAAAACAAAGATATTTAAACTACATTTGTACACATTGTGTATACAAATACATATGTATTACTTTGCCCTGCTTCTTAGTTATCTTTGTAATAAAGGTATAGGGCCATATATCCGGTTATTGTTCGTTGAACTAATCTCTCGCGCAAAACGGCTGTTCGATTACACGCAAATGAAGCGATTGATTCGAACAGCGTAGAACTTTATACAACGTTATACAACTTTTTTTTCTTCGTAAATAGAATAGACTGATATAATAAGCGTAATCTGGACTTGTTTGCGGTATTTAAACACGTCTACGAAGGAAGCGGGAGGGTAAACCTAAGAAGAATCCTCAATAAAGCGTTCTCCGCCGTAAAACGACGAATAAGGCTTTCCATGGTGTACCGTTCTGCTTCTTTCCTTATACAGCGGTTTATCAATGTATATGTATATAACGGAAGATCCCAGTTAACTCATTGCATCGACATTGAGCTGGGACTTCCGGATTGATCCGCGTCTTTCTCTTCGCAGATGAGGCTCATAGCTCGCTTTCGTCCTATCATGTTCCATAGCACATAAGAATGTTTAGTGCCGGACACTCTACGGGCTTGGCTAAAAATTAACCAAAAAAATGTTGTATGAGAAATACAAAATTATTATACATGAAAAATTAATATATGCAAAATCATATTTATTAGTGTTTATTAGAATTATTATTAACAGTTTATAGAATTTGTTTTTCAATAAAGCCTTTCTTTTAACATTAAATTTTTCCGTAATCAAAGTCAAAATTCAAATGCGAAATTAAATGTTTAAAATTCGATAACTTTTTAACGTTTTGAAAGTTAAAGAAATAATCAATTTGAAATACATGAAAATGTTAAACTGATAAAAGGAAAGTATAATAGAACAAGTTGGAAACTAGGTCACTTGGTGTTACTTACGTTTGAAACCAGTCGTAGTTTGTGACGTACGTGTCGTCAAAGCAGAACTTTTCATATAAATCTATTACAGGAAATTTGATAAAAGAGGAATCTCTTTTAGACGGATCATCCGCCAGAGATCTTATCCAATTGTTGAAGGAAAGAAACGCCATGCTTTGTTCCTTATGAGCGTAGATGCTGAGATTGGCCATAGGTGGAAGAGTGCAGATAGTAATGGCCTCGTTTGAAAGATGAAATTTAGACCGGAGAACTTGCAAGAGTTCCGTCATATCGTATATCATTTCCTCGCAAGTGGCGTTCTGAAGAGAATCGAATATTTTGTGAAAATCTAATACGTTGTACTTTACAAATGCAAATAAATTAATAAATTTATGTTTATTCAAAGGCTTTCTGTACATTGTAATTTTTGTCTGATATTCAGGTAAGCACAAGTTGATATTAAATATAATTAATTTATTTCTCGATACGTGTTTAGCTGCGTGGTATGCGTACACGGCGAGGATAGAGCAATGCCAAATAAACTTACGTTGTAAACATCAACCGAGCCAAGCAGGATCACGACACGATTGGAGATAGTACTAATATTCCTCAAAGCCCGAGTACAACCGCTAATGGTCTGTCCGGAGGTACACAAACCGCAGTTCAATGCTAAGCTATCTGTAAGATAGAATACAAAATCCACAGCTTTTATTATCTCATCTTGTAACATATTTATTTTCCACCTTAAATGTTACCGTATTTTCACTTTCTTATTGCACATTAACTACTTTGATAAAGCAACAATAATTTTAATTAAATAAATGAAAAAGTTATTTTCTTTTAAGTCGAATAGAAATAAGAATTTTAACAAAGCCGCGTGAATTTTACTACAAACAGAACTTGCTGGAAACTTTGTAAAGAAAATTTTTATTGTATACCCTTGTATCTCCAAATGGGAAGATGAAGATTTCGTATTGCAAGTTGTAGGAAAAAGTCGTCGCCAATTAACTGTCGATCGTTTGCGATAGGTTCGTATATGCTGTCCTAATATAATTAATATAAAACATTAGATATTTTGTAATTATCTGAAAATTTCACTTGACGCAGCAAAAATTTAAGTTTTACTGTACACTCACATGCTTTTTCACTTCATTCGTTTCTATCACTACCGGATAATGATTTTCTTCTACTCCATATAAAAAGTCTCTATTTTTATAAGCGCCATCTAATATAAATAAATTTATTTATTTAAAAAATGTCTCTTTTGTATATCACTGGCCCTGATTTTATTTCGAATAACTTATGTTACAATGAAATTATAATCTTAAATTGTGAAATACAGCGTTAAACAAAAATATAAAATAAAGAATTGTTATAAATAAGAAAAACTAACAATACAATTTTGAAATATTATAATAGAGGAATGTTCCTGAGAGCAAAAGCAAAAATTAAACTAAATAAAATTTCGTGAAATGTAAAATATTATTATTTCTTCAAATTCAAATTATGGCTGAATATCTTACTGGTTCCAAATAGATTTGGATCACGACGATGAGCGAAAGCTTGGTTTCGTCTGTTGGCGCGATTGTTATTATTAATTAATCTGTTCTTTTCTCTGCGCTCATCGTTACTGTATCTAAGATTTGTGCCATCATTATGCATAAATTGTTTGTAATATTTGTTCTAAAATAAAGAATTATTATTGCAGCTTAATTTTTTCGATTTATGTAATTATTGTGTAGACTTTATGCTATAAATTGCCATAAACGTACTCTCGTCTTTGAATAATCTACTTTTTGCTTGTGTATAAGTCTACCAATATGAGAGATCTTAGAATCATTTATCTTTAATATCGGATCTCCATAATTGTTCCAAGTTGTCTCCAAACCATCGATGGTCTGCAAAAATGCACGGAGACTCGAAAATCCCAATCTACGATACGGAATAGATTCTCCGACGAGAGCTTGAAATTCATCTGCAAAAGCAGCATTCTTTTATTCTTAAATTTATAAATCCAGAACGATAAAATCATAGATCTGAATAATTTTTCATCAAACAATTTAAATAATAAAAAGCATTTTGCTATTAAAATAATTTTACATTTTATTTTAACAATACTCTAACTTAATCTTAAAGAAATAAGCTTGTGATTAATTTATTTTCAAGGAATTCATAAATTTCACTTAAAAGTAATTTACGCGTATATTAGCACAAGACATTTATATCAAAGATTTTTAAAATTGTAGAATCTAAGTTACTAATAATATGTAAAGAAAATTAATAAAATATGTTTAATAACTTTATTTAATAGCTAATATTAACAATAAATATTCTCGCTCTGTCTCTCTTTCTCTCTTTCTTTCTCTCTTTCTTTCTCTCTCGTACATCATATGTATATTTTCTTTATAAATTAAAATTATATAAAAATAGAATAATAATACTCACAATTTAGATCTGCAACTGGTACGCCGCCTTTCTTCGAAATTATGCACGACTTAATCAGTGCCACCGTTTCTTCCATTCTTATGTCTATTAATTTTCATGTCTTCTTATTAAAGAGTTAAATTTTTAAACTTGCTTGCGAGAAATTTGCGAATTTTATATATATAAGCGAGTGAGTATGTTCAATCACAAATTTCCACTTGTATGCTATAAATGTCTTATTGAAAAATCTAACTTTTATAAAAGTTCTGCAGACCTGCTGCTGCTGCGAATACTAATTCAGACATGATGGCGACGTCCGCACTCGTGAACGGTATACCGAAGAGTGAGCGCCGATCCATCGCATGGCAATTATACGACCTACCCCCATTCGCATACCTTCGCAATGTTTTGGAAAATTCCGCCAATTCGTAAGCTTGGCTTACCGCGCGAAGTCTATGTAGAAAAAATACTAACATAAGAAAATGTACACAATGTTTGAATGAAGCGTGGAATCTTCCGTGTTGGTAACGTTCGTTATGACGATTGTAACGCTACCTCGAGAACCTCGAATATCTTGAATATTTGTGAAATTTCAAACACTTTTAATAATAGTAATATAACTAAATTTACATAATTTTATCTTTTATCTTAAAGTATTAATTACATTAAAGGTTTTATTGTGAGCAAATCCTTGATTTTTCAAACATTGACAGATTAATCAAACATTGATTTTCTATTTGCAATTTAGCATATTTTCCAATCACAAAAATTATTTTAATAATCTATATGTACAATAAATAAATATGTATAATTAATATATTCAATTAACAAATATAATATTCAATTATAATATATTCAATTAACAAATAAATATATATATAATATATATTTATTTATTTAATAATTTTTGCAATTTTATATGAAGTGCGATTTCTTTCCAAAATCTTGAAACAAACAAATTATATATTATTATGTGTTTACGTACATTAAAATTTAATAAACGCTTAAAAAATGATTTACTAGAGTGTGTCGCATATTACAATTGCAGATCTTAAATGTACGATTAAAGATAGATTAAAATTAATTCATGAAAATTTATGAAAATCTCAAAACTATCTAGAAATGTTTCAAGCAATTAACAAGAAAAATCATCTAATTTAAATTAAAAACCATAAATTTAATAAATCTTGTCAAATAAATTTAATCAAGTGGAAATTTATGATTAAACATACTCACTCGCTTATATATAAAATTCGCAAGTTTCTCGGAAGCAAGTTTAAATTAAAAATTTAACTCTTTAATAAAAAGACATAAAAGTTAACAGACATAAATCTAGTCTATTACAAGATGTAAAATATTCGTACATACATTGCTTACAAATTAAAATAATTGTCAATCACAAATTTCTAAATTTTAAAACTTTTCAATTGTGATAGTGTTCAGAACATTGAGAAATTATGGTAAATTAATTTTTCAAAAATTATCTTTACAAATTTATATCTTTTTAACATTTAATATTTTAAAAAATAACTTTTAAATAAAATATTAATTAATGCTCACTTAAAATTAAATAAATAATGAAATTCTATCATCTTGTCATATCTCTAAAGCTTAACTTTTCGTATCACTGAAATTTAATTAAGGACACATAAAAATTTTCTTTACTTTTAAATGTTATTAAGTAGATATGTCCAAAATAGAATAATTTAAATATATGCGTGTACATGTACATACATACATACACATATATATGTGTGTGTGTGTGTGTGTGTACATGTATATGTAAAATCATATAAAATCAAAATTGGAATCTGTTTTTCGGAAGCTCACATAAGACATCGATACATAGGTCTCAACCGCTCAACGAAGTTCAGGAGAGAGTTTTGACGGGTCAGTAACTCCGAAAATATTTATGTCGTCCCAAACTATTCTTACACCCGCGACATGGATATTTTTGGCTAATGTTGGGTAACTCCCGTATATGTTTTGTTGCTTTCCCCCTAATTACAGTTATTTGCTGAGATCTAAAAATATCATTTTGTAAATTTTAAAAATGTTTATGTAATTTATTTTATCGTTGTCAACGAAGCTTCCGCAAACAATCGTGCAATATAGCTTACAAAAAATTGCAATATATATATAGTCTCATTTTTTTAAATGTTTATTGACTTCTCTTATTAATAAAATGACGAAACATACAAAATATCTTCTTTTTATTGAGAATTATTTACTGCTTTTGGAAAGACTGTTGATTTATTTATATCAAAGAAGCCTTCGCGGATATTATAACATTATTAAATTTCTTTTAAATAAACAAAATTTTATTAAAGAAAGTTTTCAGACATTTATTTTATAGCTAGCTTTTTTAAAACTATTTCAACGAGAAATATGTATATTTCTCATGAAATCAAAAAGAATCGCATTCACATTTTTTAAATAAAACGATATAAAAAATTTAATGTCTTGACTTTATATCTTTGTAAGTTTCTTAAGTTTTATACAAAGAATATATGAATCTCTGAGCTTATAATTTACAACATAATTTACGTTGAAACAAATAAAGAAATTAAAATAATGCAGAAATACGTGTTTACGTCTTTCATATTTATTAAAGAAAAAATTGAAACTCCTATTATGTAAACGTTTGCATACCGTGTTGCTCGACAATCTTCCGTAAACTGACGGCCTTCTATTCTTCTTGCACTTCCGATACATCGGTTCATCTTCACGGTGGGTGGTGGTGGAGTGCGCACTTGTTACGGAGGGACCCTCGAGAGATATCGAAGTTCCCGAGAGGAGTCTAAAGGGTCGCGCGCCGCAGGGGGTCAACAGATGTTGCGCCGAAGTTGAGAGCTTGACGTGTCATTGTGTTGCAATATACGTTAGCTCTGCAACTATCTGCATGTTTCGTGTTAGAATGCTGCAGGCGCTGTGTGGTATCGGGGAAACACGGTTTTCGGTAAGTCAAATAAACTATGAGAACGATGTTAAAATTATATTTGTGTGCTTCTGAGCTATGAATCGCAGATTTCTAATTTCGCTGACTATTATTCTTCTTAGTTTATCAAATAATAATTCACAGAGAATCTTTTCATCTTTGCATCTTAATTTAATAAAAATGTTAAATTTAATTACGTGTATTTATAGCTAATATCACAATTGCTCCGATTAATTAAAAAAGCAAGAATTGATTTTGGAAAGCACTAAAATTTTGTTTGCTCCTATTTTCAATTATATAATATAGTATATATATATATATATATATATATATATAAAATAAATTAATGTATTTATATTTTAGAAACTTATAATTAATAATAATTGACAATTTAACGGATGTAATATACTTTATTCTAAAATTCGTAGATTTTTAAAGATTCGGTTACAGGAAGCCTTTTAATTCATCTTTAGTTTCGGTAGAATTGCCCCAATAGATTCATGTCTACCGGTATAAGAGTTGAAGCAGATATAAATTCCTCGAGGGAGAACTAGATTGTAAATGCTTGGCAGAATTCCTTTAAGCCAGATATCCCGTCGGTATAGTGATCCCATTCAATGGATTAAATAAGTAATTACAACGTTATTGTGCATTACGGAAGCGGACGTGTATCTGCGGGACCGGGGGAGACACGTCGCGCGAAACAAACGTGTCGGTCGTGTCTCGAGATGCTTTACGAGGGAGAGCATCTGGAAAACGCTTTCCGGCGTATTAAGCGCACAGTGAAAGCTTCCGCGCGTGATTACTTGGCCAAAGGGAAGGACAGGGGGCGAGCGCTTTGAAATTCGACGCGGACCGGGAAATGGATGCGTGTTAAAGAAACAGCCGTGCGAACAAATAGTCGCACGAACAACCGGCGACCACTGCCTGGCGATACTTGGCGATGGTGGGTGACAAATGACCGATTTCAAGGAAGATAATCTCGAATTCGCTGGAAATTTAATTTATGCGAGCGACCAAATGCCGCGGGTGCATGGTCCATAATTTCTGCTAATCTATTTACATAACTGCGCTCATCTCCGTATACCAGTAATGCTTTCATAAACAATTAATTCATATTTTGTTAAAATTTCAAACTCAATAATTTATAAATATCTCATTCTCTCGTTGTTTCTGCCTACATTTTTTTACTACTTACTTCTCTTCCTTTTTTTTTTCTTTCGCAGTTATATACCTAGCTGTTTCATTTCAAACACAAAATGTATACAGAGTTGCATCGTTAATACATTGATCGTGGCTACATGACCGTCGAAGTGACGTAATCTCTGCCGAGAGACTAATTGATATGTGCTTCAGCTAGTTGAAAAGCTATTGTCAGGCTCGGCGAGAGGAAGGGCACAAAAGCTGCAGCGTTAAGAACACCCTTTCATCTGCATTGTAATCATCTCCGCGCTTCTTTTGTATGCGTCTTCCCAGCGGAGCTGCGAAAGCTCGAATAATGAAGCGCGTGGCTTCGTGTGAATTAACCGACCCGTTTGCACGGCGTGGCTTTTAAGAGAGACATGGGCATTCTGAAGCCTTCAGAAGCGCCGAGCGATCTCGGCGGGGGGAGATCCATTGCGGTAAAACATCGGCGATATATATGAGGGCTCTTCACGGGATATGGGAAAAGCAGGGAAAGAAAGAGAGAAAGAGGAATCCCCATAAGAATCTCCGATTCTAAAATTGCCGTTAATAGCGAGGCGTGACGAATGTGCGCAGATGCTATTCGATGTGTCTCGTGAGACGTGCTCTGTTTTGAAAACGTGCCGATACTCCGACGGAGCTCCGTGCGACGGCATCCGACAAGAGTTTTCGGATTTACTGTAGCCGTAGGATATGTCCGGTTTCTCTCTCTCTCTCACACACACACGCACACACACACACACACACACACACACACACTGCGATCCCTTCGGTCTGATTTCCCGTGTTACGGCTAGCGAGCGCCTCTCCGTGCGTATCTCATAAATCGTCGGCAATTTCAGCTGTCCTCGGTGACACGGCAGTCCTCGGTGACCCGGTCAAAGGACGTATCGTACTTTAACGGTCGTACGCAATGAAAACAACGCGAACGCTTTAACGGGAGGTAAAAGCAGAGTATTTACTTTTCAACAGAATCTAAGACGTAGCCAACGATTTATACAATTAATTTCAATACAATTTTTGTTTTACTACATTTTGTTCACGGCCTAAGATAAAAAAACGTTAGTTCGCTATAAGTTAAATGATAAATTATCGGTCATTTTTATTGTAAAAAAAATGGTACGATAAGAAATCAAGATATGTATATTGACGTTATAACGTTTTTTTTTATAATGCATGTAATGTAGAATGTCAATGTTTAATATCTATAAAATCAGAATTGTTATATGATTATAATTCTTGACAATTTATCATGCTTTGCAGAGTATCGGGGTGATCTATTCACATTGAATAAAAATTTATACATACCGAGAGTTTACGCTGTTCAACGTAAATATCTATTGATGTAGCTTTTCGCGACGCGCTATAGAAAGGGAGCGAGTTTTTACGACACTCAAGGCACTCGAGATTTCCGTTTAGGTAAGAATGCGGAGGAAGCGACACTTGGAGTGGAAGTGATGGCGCGACAGCTGACATTTTATTTCGTTTTCCTCGGATGGCGGAGTCCAAAGTGGCGTCGTATCGTGAAAATGTAAGCGTCGTCGTTCCAACAAGCTGCTTGGCGCCTTTCCGATGTATTTTAAACGATTTTAACGATATATTCGCGCGCGAAGTGAGACATTCGTTTCCTTCTTCCTTCGGATCGTAGAAGATCGTTAGAATTTGATCTACGTGAAAATGACCGAAAGGATCAACGAAGAATTTAGATATTCGAGAAACGTTCGCAAACACCGATATCTCATTAATCACGTATGATGGTCACGTAACGGCTAAGGCATAGCGTTAAAATATGTGGTCCTTAATAGCGCGGATGATGGTTAGCCGGCTGATTAATTGTCCGCTGTCTGATAAATGACTCCCGCTATCTGACGAAAGCTCGTTAAAGAGGATACGAAGGTAAAATCTGGTGCAAGCGCGAACGTCTCGAAAATGGGGGAAGAAGAAGAAGTTAGCTTTTCTAGTTTCTTCATAGTTATTAGTTTCTCTCTTTATTGCTTCATAATTTCACATATTTACACCGTCGCGGTATCGATGAAGCTCACTTATGTGCTACATGATTGATACGCTTGCTTGCAGGCACATGAAAAATTCGGCGATTTGTTCCGCGGAAATTGTTGAATATATCGAGAGACAAACGTCTCGCGCGAAACTTTCATAAGGCAGAAAGGCTCCTCTTCGTCGCATCGGGAACTTGTAGTTTATAATTTTAGACTGGAAATGCAAAACGATGCAAATGCGGAAAGATAATCTTGAATATTATAAATCGAATTGAAAAAAAATCTATACCAACAATATGTCACAATTACAAAGAGACAGAAGCGCAAAGAAGCATTTGCAATAGCACAGAAATATCTAGCGAAAAGTACAGACAATTTTATTTGTTTATCATGAAGAAAACATGGAAAGTAAAAGAAATATACAAGCTTGAAGAATATTTTTGGCACTCGTTTTGCATTTTACATTTATTATTATAAATCAATATCCCTAAAAGCAGATAAATTGAAAACATTCTTTAGAAAATAATATTAAAAGCATTAAATATATATATATATAGGATATCGTTCACTTCATAAATATTTAAAATTAAAATAATCGTAAAAAAGTTGCAACAAATAATTGCCGCGTAATAATTTTTACCCTGCTATGAATTTTTGTCTCTGCTACAGTATCTCGAGTTACTTATTACGCTTGTGCAGAGAGACTGAGATTATCCTTTAGGATGCTTTCCTTTGGTATAAATAAAATATTTGACTATTCCACAGCGCTTCCGATATTTCGCACAGATTTACCGGTAACAATCGGAAACCTATACTACATTTGCGTGCTTTTCACTGGACTCGTTAATCGCTCGCAACGCGTAATTCTCGTTTCGACAAAAAAATTGAGTGCCAGTCCGTCCGTGTATACCGATTAGAATTTATATAGCGTTTCAGAAATCGCGCATTTCTTTTCTGGAGCTTTTTTAAGAGTTTAAAAACACACACGGCTTTTCTTCTTTTCTTTCTCATTGTAGAGTAGCTATTATTCGTTATTGAGTCAATGGCGATATAGGTATCATTCATTTTCACTCGCTTATCCGCGAATCACGGAAATTACGCCTTCAATGACTTTCGAAACGCTCGGCGCGATACGATAGGATTATTCTGAGGAGAGGCAGTCGGGTCTTTGATCGTGTGCGTGCATTCACTTAAAATATCGAATGGCACACATCGCCGCCGTTAAAAGCCAAGGAAAGAGACTGATCCGAAAGGATTAAGCCTCGGTACCGTGCAACTTCAGTGGTGCGACGAATAGTGACTTTCGGACGATGACTGCAACGGCCCATTGATGCTTTGCACGATCATACTGAGGCAGTCCAGGCTGCTCCCGTTGTTTTGCGAGGACATCGCCTCGGCGTGTTCGAAACCTGCAGCACAGAAATACGATCGCGATATTAAAATAATGCCTCTTTAAAAAAAAATCATGCATACTTTGCTACCTTCACTTAATCCACAGTTTTGCTATATGCAGAATACTAGAATACTTCTGCTTTTCTAACAGGTCGAAATTCTCAGAGCGCGCGCGTACACATACATATACATACAATTAAGATTCAGACTTCATTTTCACGCCGCGTTTAGCACAAAAAGATCATCGCAATTCCAAGGCAACGAGCGAAGTCTTGCAAACACGAGAGCAAACGTGCACACTGTGTGTGAAGTACAAACTACGTTTAAGCGAACTTTAGGTGCTCTTTGACCGTCCTCCGTCTCCGTCGCAGTGTATATCTAGATACGGATGAATTGCGAGCGCTTCCCGAACGGGAGCCGGGGGTCGGCTTCTTCTTTCCACTTTTCGTTGTCCTTCGCCGCGGAGAAAGCATTTACATAAGTTATGTACTGCGACGTTAAGGGCTTTGACGCCGTTATTCCTAGCACCGGCGCGCACTTCCGTCTTTCTGTCTTAAATTCGACTCGTATTTTTCCGCTCTCGTAGAAGGTGCATGTATCCACACTAATGATAACTTGTGGTATAATTTGTGCAATTTATACAATACCACAAATAAACATTATACAAAAATCGTCTCTATAGAGGATAATACGCGCTTATTCAGATAATATTATTGCAAGACATAAAATTTTTTTATTCTTTGTACAGAATCTTAAATTTAAAAATTTTTTCTATTTTCTACTCTTTTCTATAATTTTGATTATAGACAACTATTATAGATCTAACTATTCGTTGACACTTTCGTCGATAAATAAAAAAGAAATTTTTAATTGTATATTTATGTATTTCTACCTATTCTATCTGACATTTTTGCATTATATTTATTAAATATCTATAAGTAAAAAGTCAAAGTTACTTAAAGTTTATACGCATAAAACAGAAAAATGGAAAAAGATTAATTATTTACATGAAAAAACAAATTGTTTTAAATACAATTTTTAGATATACATATATGTATAGATATATAAAGATTTAAAAACTCTAAGTATAATAATTATAGTGCAAATATGATCTGTCGCGACATTGATGACTAATTATCCGCCCACACTCACTAGCACTTCGGACGTGTCGCTGGCACGAAAGCGCGAATAAAGATATATCTGCTAAGAGTGTAATCAAGAAAACGGGTGGCACGAAACTAATAATATCAGTTGGAACGACGAATGCGCCGACATGCGTCGATGAATATGAAAAGAAAACAGGTGTAGCTTCAATCTTTTTTTCTCTCTTATTTTCTTACTTTGTCTTTTAAGAAAGAGCACGAAAATAACTAATTGTCAATTTTAGAAACTGCGGGTTGTTTATCCAATTAATATTTGCTTAATAAAAATATCGGAAAAACAATAGACTTTAAACGACGAGCAATTGAGATTAACCAATTCTGTTAGCGAAGCAATCATCGCGAAAATTAATGGCGAGATTTTTATTTAATTTCAAGTGGACGTCATTTTGATGATATTTTAATTGAAACTTAGTTGCGCTAACACGTTTAAATTAGCTTCGGAAATATTTACGAAGAAAAATCGGGATCTAATCAAACTTTCACTAAAGAAAAATCGATTTCACATTAAAAAAAAGATCGCGAAATAAAGTTTCTAGAAGTTACGTGTTGTTTAAATTATAAACCTTATATATAATTACACAGAGATAATGTATATGTATGTATCCCGTCGTTGCCGCCTAATTTCTCATAAATATTGCGAAAACTCTGACTTTCAATCGCTACCAATCTCCATTAAATTAAAAACATCGTCGATTCGAGAAGGCTATAAATATTCATGGAGACGCTTAGATGCTAGGATAATGAGAAAATGCAAAGAAGATTTTGTATAGCTCTCGCTTAATATCTAATGATATGGAAATTGACGTCTATCATAAAGTAAGAATAATATAACAGTGACAATTGCGGAAGTAATAGTTTAACAGAATTGCACTGATTTAAAATAAAAGAGAGTATATATATACATATATATATGAATCTACACATGTATTTAATTGACTGTATTTAATACAAACAAACATACATTCCTTTCTCAGTAAGCGTTCTGACTTGCTGTATTCAACGCTTACATTCAATTCTGATTTGATTATAAATATTATGAAGACGTTGACAACATATTGACATTTGAATATTAAATCTCGTCAGTGTTATACTACGTGACTTCTATCTAATTGTTTGTAAATAAATTTTGTCAGGATACGTTTTGTCAGAATTTTACGTGTTTACGTATTCCGCTTTGTTTGATCACGCACGCCTCGAATGTTCGAAGAGAATTCCTGTACTTTTTCTGCTGTTATTTATATGTCGTCCCATGACAAAAGGTTTCTCTCGGAAATCAGCGCAAAAATATTCTGCAACAAACGTTAATCACGATTGAAATGATTGTCTGGCAAGACACGAACGTTGGAGTGTGCCGAATATTTATTTATAAATCACGGGACGTATGATACTCGCTGTCATACTTCTGCGGATGATATATCGTCTAGATTGCTTGCCAGATTCGTTCGGTACACCGCGCAATCACGACGCCGAATAGATCTCGATGGTGGCGTAAATTATTTACAGGGACTGACAACTCTGTCAACCGCAATGTAATTCTCGACGCGTATGTAGACAGACAGATATCTCTGACGTACGATTCGTCCACCTATAACTCTCGGAGTAATGAAAAATGAAATGCGTCGCAATTAAGACACGACTCGAATATATTTAAAAAAATTAATTTCTGATTTCTTTGTGTATTTTAATAACCATATCCTTCCACCATAATGTAATATTTAAAATAGCTAAGTGATAAAATATAACGATTTTTAGAGAAAAATGTTTTATTTTATTTATGCAGAAATTTTGTTTACTTCAATTTTGCGTAAATATCTATTAATAATATCTAATTTTTCGTCGAAACAGCTCGTGTCAAGAAGATGCAAATGTAATACATTTATGTGAATTATTGAAAGAGATTCGAATGAGAAATGCATTAATCGGGATGACAAACGAATTTATCTTCTGATAATATTAATGAATAAGCGAAATGGGATCCAGAGATAGCAGGCACCCTCATATTTCTGAATTATTTCTTATGATGTATAATCTGACGTTCTATATCGTGCCGGGGCGTTCGACTCACAGCAAATACAGCAAATAGGTGGATTAAATCGTAATGCCCTGTAACATTCGGTAAGAACGACAGAAATAACTGGTCAACGAAGAAACGTGCGAGAGATAGATTTGAGAACGGAAGCGCATCTATAAATATACGTATTGAATGAGTGCAAAAGTTTTGATGAGTTTCGTGATATATGTCACACCTGATGTAGTTTTATGGCGATATTCAATAAATATATTGATATGTTCATACCTGGACAGATTTATATTTTCAGCTCGCAAATTAAACACGAATTGATTCGATTCTAGTTAGTTTCGTTGTTTTCCAACCAAAACTAAAAATAAGCATAATAGAATTCATTTACGTATAATAATAAATTTACATCATGACATGACAATTTCGAAGAATGACAGACATTTCAGATACCACAGAAAAATATCAGCACCTGTTTAGAGAAAACGCTGTGTCAACACAAACCTTGAAAGATGGTTTATAAAATTTAAACGCTCCGGTCGACCTTCTGACGTTGATGACAATATATGGTCGTTGAAATGTAATCGATCTATCAATTTTAAACTTTTCAGCAACTATTTGTGTTAAAATTCACGGAATAGTATCCACTAAATTGCATTTTTACTGTCATCATCAACGACAGAAGACCGATGAATTTAATTTCGACCGCGTCAAGATTAAAAACCTCCTCGTTTAAATTTTGTAAACCACATCTCTCTCTAAAGACTTTAGGATTTTCTTTCACTATTTCAAAAATGCTAATTTTTTACTTGTGCCACATTTCTTTATCAACGCGGCGATATACGATTGTTATCTGCATGACAGAGATTAGAAGAAATGCATTGTGTAAAACGTTTCAGAAATAAAAGAGCTTTTTTACAGAGTTAAGAAAAAAAATCTTGAGCTTCAATGTGATGTTCTCGCGAGGCCTAAAAATGTTTCATAAAGAGAACCAGACTGATTCATACGCAATAAACGGCCTTTTCCTTGAAACCGAGCACGAAGCTATGCGGCATCCTATACTAATTAGTTTGCCAGTTCGACCGACTCGTCCCTGAGTACGTCATTAAAATAGGTTGCACTTCGCCCACGTAGAATAATTTCGGGTGCGAAGGCTTAATGTTCTCGGTGGACTTTCTTTTGGTGGAAAAAAAGAAAAAGAGAAAAGAAAATTCCGGCTGGGTAATGCTGCGACGGGCGCACTTATAGAGCCCTCTTGTCCCCGAGAAGTTCGGAGTCACCGATGCGTTTCTCACTAATGAGGACGAATCAAAGGTACGTTGTGCCATTGGAGGAGGTCCGCGCGCATTCAGCAAATCGTCTAGGACACGTCTTTGAACATGAAAATGCAATTAAGTCGTCTCAATTTACTCGCTGTCCTAAGCATCCGGTGTCCTAAATGGATTGCAACTTCTTCGGAAACATCATTTTCTACATGCGCGCGGAGTAGGTTCCCTCGTCGATCATGCGCGCGACTGTCAAAGATACCCAACATTCAAGGTTCTCACAATAATAATTTTGCAATCGTATCAAGACGTTCGTTTAACGCTTCACGCATTACGCTTATTTTTACAAACTGCCGCGACGATGTTGCTCAATGATTACTTAATTGGAAGTTTTGACATTGGAGAATATCCTAGATGTGCGATTGATTTGAGTGAGAATAATTATGACTATTTCTTACATTAAATTCGTAGAATGGCGTATTACGTGATTTCGTAATGCTTGTGACGTCATAATTTCAAATTTATTTGCGCAAATAGTAGAGTTTTGCGAATATCATCGCAGCCATGATTCTCTCGTATAAACTAATCGGAATTACGTTTCCAAAATTATGCGCGTATTGCGAAATACCGCGGCTACCTCGCTTATTCATGAGCCAAAATAGAGGTGATAACAGATTCTTGTCGCGCGAAATTGAATTTAATATTAAATATGATGTATGATTTAGAAGCCGAATCATTCACACTGCGATATTCACTTGCGTCGAATAAACAAATTAATATATAAATCGCCTATAAATAATTTGTTAGTTAATTTTTAATACCGACGAACTCCAATTAACGA